CTTCCTCTATTAATTTCCGAATAAAATCCGGATAAAATTACATAGAGCATATTTATTGCATATCTTAACTTTTCAATTGATTACCAATCTAGTTTCCATCGAAATGCTTATGATTTTTGACGCACATTGTGTACATTACACGTTTCCCACGTGCCGAAAGGTGGACTGTGACAGATTTCCCACTTGATACGTATTTATCAGTAAATATACTTTAATCCCCAAAACGGGCGGCAAAAAATTAAATCCACCTCTGGCAATATATGCGATTTGGATGAGCACTTAGGTGTGAAAAAGACTGCTCCCAATGGATTTAGCATTATTTGTCCGAAACTCTAAAAACTAAGATTTACGTCCTGATGACCGGAGCTAAACTCGTAATTTCGCGACGTTTGAGAAAAAATATCGTTTTCCCTACAATTAACGCGTTGCTGGTAAGACAGCCGTACAAAAATTCCCCTTATTTTATAAACCGAAAATATCCATCGCGATTTTATAGGAACTTTTTATTCAACCGTCAATTAAGTGAGACTTAAACTCTACAATAAGTTCATTTCAAACTTACCACAAATACAGCAATCTCATAACGGTATCAGTGGGATGACTTAAGGCATTAAAACTTTATCCTTGCTTGGTGGGCCATTTAATCACTCATCCTTTTGTTTAGAATATCCTAATGAGTTATCCTGCCATCAGATCTCTCGCGGAGGGTTAACAAGTATTAATGAATATTTAAGAAAATTGAAATTGCTAATTCCAAGTGAACTCGATGATCACTTTGGATTTTAAATTAAGGGCATTGGGCATCATTTTATTACTATGCGGGATACAAAGAAATATTTTGCGGAAATTTTAGGGTAAGAATGATGAAACCTTTATTTGTTATTATTCGTGATAAACCAACAGTTTTTCTTGTGGAAAGTTTTTAGTAGTACATTTTGAAAACGGAATACATAAATGGAATTTAGTGTATTTTGAATTGAGGAATATTACGTAGGTGGTTAGGAAGGTAATGAAGAAATAATTAAACCATAAAGTTTTCCTTCAAAAATAATCACGTATAGCTTTGTAATCGTGTGCCTAAAGATAATAGTATTTCTACATAAATAAGTGAACTTTTTACAGAATAAATTAACCTAAACGGTATAGATTCGCATACACAGCGTGTATTGCACATCGAATCCATTTTATATGGAAAAGCTGCAGCAAATACATACAGCTCGTTTTCACTAAAGTGTTCTCAGTTTCATATGACACCTACCGTTCGCGAAACTTTATCATTTCAAAAGGGATGCTATCACTTTTTGACAATTTACTAATTTACGCAAATTTAAATGACCAAACGCCTAAATCAAATAGTTTTCGAAATTTTTATTGCACAAAGTATAAGACAAGGAATACATACATCTTCTAATTGTGCTTTTAGAATATAAGGAACTTCAGTAGGTTATGGACCTCAGTTTACTCAAAGAGTCTGAATAAAGAAATCGCTCGTGGGAGTCCAAAAGTACAAAATCCAGTCGCGACGTTTTGTTTGCTGTGGAATTTCGTCATTAAATACGAGTACAACCAAAAATGAACGATATTCATTCTGCATATAAGTATTCACAGCTTTAGCTTCCAAACATCAAGAAGATGGTGAAAATATGCGAAAATATATGTATCATCTGTGGAGAGATTTCACCTTTTGGTGAATTGCACTCTCCAAGACACAGGCAATCTTAGGCAGTGTTATACAACGTTGCATTATAAGAATTTTCACCGTTTTATTAAACTAGGAGATACATCGGATAAACTATTGTACACTGTGAAATAGAAGTAAGTAAGTAAGAATTTGCAGGCTTCTTCTGATAGTGAAAGTTCAAACTCATAACAACCAATCCAGAAGCGTTCGAAACGAAAAAAATCAGGCCTACGAATTCAATATTAAATATAAGAAGGAAAGCAGATCTATGGACCCAGTACTTTAGGTTCTTCACCTTAACACTGATAAGAAACTTCCTGAAATTACTATGGAAAAGCGAAATACAACAATCATTGTAGTTACGTCTACAGATGTATTGTAGCTGAAGAGGCATAATCAAATACCAAATGATGATGAAATTGGCATATGTGCGGATTATGTTTCTATAACTTCACTTCTCTACTTTAATTGAACTTGTATCTCGATTTGGACGACACTGGGTTCGTTGTAATTACAGATGTAAAATTGGCTCTTTAATTGTGGAAAAACTCCCTTTAACGAGTACTGGGAAAACCTTAAAGAAAGGCTTCACATAAGCGACGCCTGCTCGATCAACACAGCACTTCGACTAACTTCTTCGTAAAACGTGAAACACGTTTCCGCTTAACTTTAAACAAGAACTTTACAACTGACAAGACTGACTGTCTTGCAATAAATACGATAAAATACGGCTTTTAGCCATAACGTAAGCAAAGAGTTTGTTAATATTGATAGAAAGGTGTATATTGTGCCAGTTAATTTGACATAGATTATGTGAAAACAAAAAATACATTGGAAAATTGTACGTAAAAATCAAAGAGATGCTATTCCGGAAGCAGCGAAGAAGATAAAGATAACCCTAAGTTTGACTTCCATATCACCTCACGTAGAATTACTAAGCTGCTCTTGTTCAAAATCGTGACAACCACCATTATGTAATGCTAATAATAAGTGTATAATCTGCCAACTTGTGAAAACGTCAGTGAAGAAGAGGAAGAAGTAGCAGGTTTTAGTGTACATGAAACTTTTGAAAGTAACGAAGGGGTCGATTTAGTTTTCATTAAATGATGAGTTAAAAAAATGTCTGTTAGTTTACTTCATGCATGCATTAGTTACTAATCGTTGATTTTATCGGAAAAGTAGATATGCAATATTGTAGCACACACAAAAACTTTCATTTAAGAAAATGATGAAGTCGGACCAATAGTTCTAGAGGATTTTATAAAACTCAACATCCGCCATCTTGGATTGACCGCCATTTCTATTACCTACCACTTTGTGATGGCAATCATGATTTTTTTGAAATTTGAAATTTTTTTTAAATTTTTTTTATTGCCTTTATTTTATAGTGGGCGGCAATTTGCTATTCTTCCCACTCAACCCACTATACAATCACAAACAGCCATGCCTTACCTGGGATTCGAACCCAGGACCCTTGTAGCCAAAGTTAGAGTTTGAAAACTTACCACCTCCCATGTCTTAGTAAATATTCGAAATATTTTAAAAAAATCAAAATCCGTTTCGGTAATTCGCATGGGGAATCACAATGTAATAGTTGGCGACGCACCCCCTCCAACCCCCTGCGCCCCAGCTACCCCAACTTTTAAATCTTAAATAGTGACCCCCCATGTGTGATATGTCGTTGGAATGCTCTGAATTGTATCATATTAGTTTATTTTTTGCTTTGCACGATAATTACTAATCTAAATGTAATGATAGTAATGCTATGTATGGTTGGAAAGCATTTTTCAGAGCTTTCCAACGACGTATCACACATGGGGGGTGACTATTTAAGATTTCAAAGTTGGGGTGGCTGGGGCGCAGGAGGTTGGAGGGGGTGCTTCGCCAACTATGTCATTGTGATTCCCCATGCGAATTACCGAAACGGATTTTGATTTTTTAAAATATCTCGTTCATTTACTAAGGCATGGGGGGTGGGGTGAATTTAATTACGCTTTTTTACTAACGTTTTATCTCTTCCTTTAGTAACGCAAAATATGTAAATAATTAATAAAAACATAACATTGAAGGAGTTCCGGAAATTTTCAATTTTTTTCAGAATGGATAAATTTCTTGTACATTTTTGCCGAGGTTCCTTTCAAATCGGCGCCCGTTTTCGTTGTGTACCTTTGAGGCATTGTAGTTACGCCACTGATTTAAACATATACGCAACTATCCGGTAGTTTATTTATTGTTTCGTGACACAAAACTAAATATTACAAAGGTTCCGATTATGAGGGATGCTGCGTTAAGTTAGCCCCTTTTGTAAAAATTTTGAATTTCTCCAAAACGAAAGGCGCACACAACACAAACACAAAACTATGGTGTTTGTGTCATATCGATAGGAGCATGATGGTGGATCCCCACAAGTACACAATTCAATTATAAAATTTGATCGAGATTCATCGTTATAATCAAAAATTAAAAACTTATGGCTCGCCGTTAATTTTACCGCACAAATTAGACCAAATTTTCAGGTATAATAGATTCAGATAGACTGCACCAAACTTAAATATATTCCGCCTATTAACAAATTTAAAAATTCAAAACTTGATAATTTATTTATAATTGTTTATTTAGAGACATTCTGACTATAATTTTATTTGTAAGCGATAAAAAAAGATTCCCAAACATTTTTTCTTTACAAGAAATCATAGTATATAATCGTTAGTAATTTAATAAATAATAAATAAATAAAATACTAATAGACATATTATGGTTAATGGTTAGACATACCCAAAAATCTGTCTGTGTTTTTTAAATTCATTCATAAGAAAATGATTATTAAAATAAACGATTTACAGTTGGAAGAAAATGTAGAAATAAAATCTGATTTTTATTAATTTTTAAAAACGAAAAAAATTAAATTCATGATATTGGCATATTTCGTGATTCGTGACAAAATTGTGCACTGCATACTGTATATAATGCGTTAATACTAAAGCTTTACTCACTTAGTGCAAACATCATACTTCCTCGCATGTTAACGGAATTTCATTGGCAATTTTCATATTATTTACCACAATAAGTATCGTCTAAGAGTCAGTTTAAATTAATAGAAGAAAATTTCCATTTGATTTTGACTACTTGTTTCTACTTTATGTGCTCATCAGATCTGAAAAGCAAATTTGGGAATTTGCTATTTGTGCGCGTTCATAATAGAAATTTACATTACAATATTGAATCGAAATATCGTGCCTAATTGAAGCTTATTTCCACTATGTAGCGAAACTGTGTAATTATTTAAACAAACACTTAAAGCAGTTCACATAAAACTTACGTTTAGCGTCTACTGCATCGGTTTTAATGACAAGGATGAGTGCGGCCATCGCAAAGAACGCAACGAATGAGCCATTTGTACAGTACATGGTTAAAAAAAATGTATTTATATGCCACACAAAAAAGTAACGACGCGAAAATTATGTGGCAGGTGCTTATAGAGAAAAGTCTGGTTTCAAATGGACAGAAATATTTTGCTGTGCGCCTTTTCATTTAAAGTTGCGCCTTGCGCGCGATATTCAAGTTAGGTAGGTGCCTTCCCCCACTTTGTCTTTCTATCAAGCTTTTTCAATACCAATGGGAAAATTGATGTTTACGTCAATAGGTCATTAGATAGCGCTTAAATGGTGAAACTATCCACCACGATTTTACACGTTGGACTTGCATTTTGGCATTCGGTAATTTTAATGCTTGTAGTATAAAACGCACCCCAAATAAAAATTCGGAATTTTAGCAAATACTACATTTTTACCGTGCGCAGTAACTTTACTTCTTAGTATCCGTTTCTTGAAACAATTGCAAAGATTGAAGCGGACACGTAAATAGTCAAAACTCTTTCCGATATCGGTAGAAATCATAAACAGACGGAATTCACTATGTCAACCGCAGTCCTCTGTAAAACATACCCAAACGCAATCAGTGTCGTATGCATATATTTAACATTACATAATCTGGTCGAATTTAGACGTATTACTATTTTAAATGCGGTTCAGATTTCGTAAAAATGGCACCAGAAAGTTCGCTATCGCCCCAAGTAAATTCCCTCACGAGAACTAGACCGAGCAACACTATTATGTCCTTAAAAAACCTCCTACCAGACAAAATTCGTTCGAACTCTCTAAAAACCCATCATTAGTGTTGAGCTTTAATTAAAATCATGAGATACTTTTCGAATCCGTTAAAATAATACGTTATTAAGACCTACCTACCTATTGCTAACTACCTAGCAAACACACTCTACGTTTAAAATAGTATATTAAGATACAAGTGCATAATCAAGTCTTTAAAGCACGCGCAACGAGTTTAATGGCACGACGCGAAGCGGAGTGCCTTTAACGTTGCAAGTGCTTTAAAGACCAATTATACACGTGTATCTTATAGTATTTTTTATTATACCTGCAGTATAATTTAAAAATAAGAAATACAATGAAATCATATTGACGTTATACTCGAATACATGTCTAATTAAGTGGGCTGGGTGTTCGTAATTTCACGATTGTCATGGAAATGTCACTTGACGTTTGCTTATAAAAATCATCGTCTTTGTGAATTAAACGATTTCGGTTGAAAAAGATAATACACCGTCCATTAAATCGATTGTTGTAAAATCTAAACAAACGTTGGTAGGTGTAAAATCCAACTCCAGTAAAGCCTATTATAAAGAATATGAAAAGTTGTTTTCATGGATGAATAGGAAGTTACTTACGAATAAAGTCTTAAATGCATCGATAATGCTGGCATATATGAAGGAAATGTCAAAGGTATTTAAATCTTCTATCTTTTGGTGCATACATTCAGAAGTTCAAACAATGCTACGATTAAAAAGTGAAACAGATTTGGAAGCATACCCTAAATTACGCGCGTTTGTGAAAGCTTCAACCAAAGGATAGATACAAGCCAAAGAAATGTTCTGCATTTACAGAAAGCGACCTAAGGGGATTTTTTATTTCAGCCCCAGATGACAGTTTCAAAAGTCATACTTGAAGTATCGTTACTTAGCAACTTTAAAGCACGTGTGTTTTAAAGGCCTTTTTTCGCATGCATTTGAGTGTTTAAAACGAAGATTGTGATTCAGGTATAATAAAATCGGTTTTAAAGCGCTTTGAAAGAATAAATTCGGTAGTGGTAGTATGGTATACGTTTTTGTGTAGACCGATTCTACACCTACGATTTTTATTCATACAGGTATATAAACCATAGAGTTCATTTTCTACGTTGATAATACATATATAAATAACATTTTTTTAGCATTCGTTTTATAATAGTATATTAAGAAACAAGTGTATAAACAAGTCTTTAAAGCACGCGCAACGAGTTTAAGGGCAGGACGCGTAGCGGAGTGCCTTTAAACATCGTTCATGATGTCATATATGAAGGAAATGTCAAAGGTAGGTATTTAAATCTTGTACCCTTCGGTGCATTCATTCAAAACTTCAATCAATATTGCAATGAGAAAGTGGAACAGATTTCGCAACATACCTACTCTAAACCACGTGCGTTTGTGGAAGCTTCCCACAAAGGATACGAGCCAAAGACACCTCTTTCATTTGCAAAAAGCGATCCGAGAGGATATTTTATTTCAATCCCAAATTGCAAATATATAGTTTCATATGTCATATTTGAGGTAACGTTACTTAGCAACCTTTAAAGCTCGGCGTGTTTTAAACAGCGATTCTGATGCAGGTATAATAAAAATGTATATAACACCACTTTAATATACGCATATAAATCGTAAATCAACGGGAAATAATAAACGCATAATATTCCTACAAGAATGTAGCAATATCTGCCGGACATTTATGCGTATTATATACGTAGGGTTTTAGTCTACAATAAACGCTTATTATACAAAACTGTATTGCTCGGGTAAGCGGAAAATCGCACTATATTCTTGTGGAAAGATGGCATTTTCTAGAAGTCGGACCTAACAGAAGTTAATATTTTATTATAGTGAGCGGTATTTGTAATAAGGAGTCACAAAGAAACAAAGTGGTAACTTAGAAACACAGTTTTATAAATAAATAACTTTTCACCATCGCTTTGAGTGGTCTGTTTTCAATTGCTTAAATTAATTCAAACATATCCTTGATTAATAGTACAAATGATAAAAACATTTATACAGAGTGACTAATAAAGATGGAACCAAAGCGCTGGTTTTAAAACGTTTGGAGATATCGATTTGAAAGTTTTAGGACTTAAATAAGATGTGTTTGTGCATATTCTAGCACGGAATAAAAATTTTTGTCCCGTATGGTTTTTTGACACGTTGGAAAGCTTACTTTACCTTCATTACGAATCTGCAATAGGAACTGTTTATTACAGCGAAATTGTGAATAATCCAACAAGAATTGTTATCTTTTTTCAGTTCCACTACATTTTTATCAATTTTAGTTTATTACAAATTGAATTACATCCTCTTTCTAGAATTTTTAATCGATAAACAATCTACAAAACAGTATTTGCATAATTAGGTTTCAACTCAACCGTACTCTTTTAAGGTTTAATATTAGTATTTAAGAATTTTTGCGTAACCCTATTTTTCCTATTGCATATTCGTAATAAAGGTAAAATAAGCTTCCCAACGATGTGCTGCAAGATCTATGTTGCCATTAAAAAAATGGCAGCCGAGTCAAAAAACCATACGGTACAAAAGTTTTCTTTTCATGCTAGAATATGCCCAAACATATCTTTAAACTTTCAAACCGATATCTCCGACCGTTTTCGTACAAGCGCTTTGGTTCCATCTTTATTAACCACTCTGTATATGGTGAGTCAATCTTCTGTAGGCGACCAATAGTCAAGTGGTTGATATTAGCGAAAAATGTTTACACAAATTTTTTGGTACGAAAAGCCCTATAAGTTAAATAGTACAAGCATGTAATTTTTATGTCGTGTCCAACGGCACGGAAATTTCGTCTGGTTTCCTTAAAGAGCCCTCTGAGCTGAATGCCTTACATGGAAACCCAATAATCAAGCGGTTGGCCCAGAAATCTTGGAGAGAAATTGGAACAGGCAGTCCCAAAAATCCCAATATATACATGCAGAACGATCTGGCGATTGGGACGCGCACCTTAACTGTGTGAAAAAAAATGATTCCCTGCTTCCATGCGTCTGGAAACTTCCCACAAAGATCTGGCATTCCCTCTTTCCTCTTTCAGCTCGTCGATAAAAATTCACAATGAAATTCCCTTAGCACTATTTAATGAAAGTGGAGCGCGGGGGACAACGATATCTGCCCTGTATACTCTGTAACGTGATACAAATTCAGCTGAAGTGATACGTTTTGGGCCCGTATGATTTTAATTAAACGTTGTGGAGATATTTTAAGCAATGATTTTCATTTGCAAATGGACCCTAAGGTTTGATTGTAAAACCAACGCGTCTCTCCTTGTAAAACTACGGTAGTAATGCATTCTATCTTATAAGCTTACTGAACTGCTGCTTCCTTTTACTCTTACAAACTATCATTTACAGAATTTACAATGATGGTGTTATATGCTGCACCGTATTTGCTGTAACTTTTGTGTGGACGTCAAACACAATGTTACGATATATTACTGCCTTTTAACACTTGGATTGTATTATGGCTATAAAACTGTGTAAATTAAATATTGCTCAGTCCGTCACTTGGTTTCAAATAGGTCCACTCTATTTAAAAAGCGAGCTTTACCCGATGGAACAGTGACAACAATCGTTTTCTCATTACGTTACCTACAAAACTTTCAATGGAAATGCAATATGTAATTGAAAAATCAGACTACCTACTTGTGTTAAAAAGTTTATTTCTGTCACGTTCAGATAAAAGTAGGAAATTTTCCATAGGAGCGGAAAACAGAAATCCATTTTCGATTCCTTCAAGTATCCATTTTTTTATTTAATATATCTTACACTTTCTTTATTCTATAGATAACGTTAACGGCATCGTCGACAATAATGAAGCTTTGTTACTGTCAGTAGTACTAGCACAACTTTTACCCTTATAATACTTCGAATAATATTTACACGAATTTGTATCAAACATTTATTTGTCTTTTAGTGTCACAGTCCAAAACACAGTTCCCCAACGAAGTAATTTGCGATAATTGTGCAATTTAAACAAATTACAAATCAGTGTAGCGCATAAATCCTATACTCGTATTAATAACGCAACAATCAATTCATTTATTCCAAGAAAGGTGGCTGTGGAAAGCCTAGCAAAATGGACAAAAAATAGTATATCATAATAATTATTGCCCAACTGCTTTGTAAGTAATTTCAATCTAGGTATTAGTAAAAATTAAAAGCCATATCTACCAATTTTGTTATGAAAACGACAAAACTCATTTGATTAGAAAACAACTAAGTGTCCTTTGCGGTCTACTATCTTGCGGTCAAATGTCCGTGTCCTAATGTCTTGTGTCCCAATGCCATAGCGCCAAGTATGGTAGTTACATTCTAATAGTGTACTAAAGTTTACTACAGAGTTCAAAACACTGAAA